CTCTTTATCCCTGGTAATGCTTCAGGTGTCAAAAACTATTTTGTCTGGTATTAATATAGCTACATCATATATAATTGTCACAGATACAGACACCTTTTTCTGTTCTTTTATTTTTAACATTTCTATATCCTCTCTCATGAGCAAGATATAGGTTTTTTTTTTAATCCAGTGAAATATTTTGCTTTTTAAATGGGGAATTTAATGATTTATATTCCATGTTTATGCTGGTAACACTTTTGATTAAATTTCCTATCTTCTTTGTCTGGCAAGTTCTAGTTTCTGTTTATCTCCATTACTGTCTTCTTTTGGAGACCGTATACAGAAATCCTCACAGTTTAGAGGTGAGAGTCCACTGCAGCCAAGCCTGGGATGAAGTGGTAAAAATCTGCAAGTGTCCCCTGAGCAAATGGATTCCTCCACTGAGAGGATCACCCAAAACATGGTAATGTGTGACTGACGGGAGGTAGAACTGGGCTACACACAAGGAAACCAGTAACCTGGTCTACTCCTGAGAGTGAGTTAGGCACCTTGGGCCAGGATCTGCATAGATTTAAAACATGAAGAGCTGGAGAGTAAAATCACTGGCACTTTCCCAGTGGCCACTTAGGCAGGGACAGGTGTGCCTGGGGACATCAGTCTTCTCAGTGCCCATTGAGAGGTGGAGTCCAGACAGGAGCAGCGCCGGATCCCAGCTCCACCAGAACGACACCCTCCTCTTTGCACTGTCCAGGTCCCTCTGCTCAGACTGCAGGTTCAGCAGCAGCCTGCTGTCTCCCCACACTCTGTCCTTGCGATGCGTTACCTCTGCTTTACGGAGAGAATCGAAGCAGCCAGACCTCAGCTCCTCGGCTTCCCACCCTGCCACAGAGACATCTCTCTTCAGCTGTTATTAGCCCCTTCTCTTCTGCCTCAGGGAAAACATTCTCCTCTTTTCTTCCAAAGCAAATCACCCCATCTGTACTCTTGTCCCTATAACTGAATTGATTGAATTCTTTCTCAGTCTTGTTCCTTCCCCAACCCAAAGCATGCCCAGTCTCTACCCTAAGTTAGGCTGTATTGGCCACTTTCCACTGAAGCTACTGCCATATTTCTTTCTGGAACAAAGGAATGTTTATTTCCCAACTCTTCTTTCTTGTATTTTCCTCATCCCTTACATCTGATGAGTTACCAAGTCCTATATATTTTATCTTGAAAGTTTCTCTGGATTTCCTTTTCTCCTCTGGATTCCTTTTCTTACTCTGTGTCACTG